TTACGCTTTGAAGAATTATTTTTTATCATTGTTTTTATTTTTAATAACTACATGATTAGAAGAAGCATTTTACTACAGCTTTAACATATTCAGTAACACACTCCAGAGCAAGAGTACATCTCTTTCACAAGTGGATGCAAGTTTCTAGGTTCACAGTTGAATTAATACAGTTACACAATATTGAACTCAGTATAAGCCCTGTAAGACGTAAAATTGGATGAGTTTTTAACTTTTAAAAAAGATCTCCATTTCATTTTAGAATATATAATTCCTTGCAGACAGACTCATTGTTTTTGATACTAACACTGAGAGTTTGGCGCTTGTATCTCTAATCTTATGTACCTGATTATTACTAGTCATAATCGGTTTCACTTGGATCCTTGGTACCTGTGTATGTCTATAAAGTCATAGGGCAGATTTCACCAGAAGGGCAAGTAGTGGGGAATGGATGGGGGTGCCGACAACACAGCAGACAGTAGCAGGGATATCAGAGTATAAGGGCTCTACTGGGGGGGAGGGAGGCTATGGGAGGGTGCTATCTGGGAAGTGGGTGTAAAAATAAATAATTTTTAAACAATGATAAAAATAATTCTTCAAAGCATAAAAATTGGCTCTTTAATAATTAGTAGATGTGAAAAACATTACCACTGAAATCTACCTGACGACTTTATATCCATGCTCAGATGCCAAGGAGCTCAGAAAGTAACCAAGTGTGACTAGTAATAATCAGATATTTAGAGATTAGAAATGCATGTGCAAACATCCAATGTCAATTGCATTTATTAATCTGGTTAGAGGGACTTAAAGGGACAAATTTCTATTCCTTACCCTCCAAGATCAAACAAGCTCCAGGGGCTATGGCACATCTCTCAAAATGTCCTGTAACTTTGGAGAGTCACCTGTCCTCTTGTTCAGGGAGGCCATAGAGACCCCAGAAGATGGACTTGAACCAGTGTCTAGTCTGCAAAGAGGAGGGTCAACACAGAGGAAACATTTCTTCCATGCTTCCAAGCAAAGGCCAGGTCAAGCAGGACCTCTTGACTTATCTTCATGTAGATGGAACTGGTAAAAGCCTGAGGAGCCAGGGGCTCCCCCTCCCCCAAGCCCATGTGATCCCCGAGGAACAGATCCTCATATGACCTTAAAAGTTATAATATTGGTTTATTTGGTCCAACTGTATTGTCTTAAACACCCAAAAGGAAAGTATAGCCAAAGATTAAAGTCATCAGTATATTTCTTTAAGAATTTAAGGGATTACACATCCTAGACATTAGACTTAAGTTCTTATGTTATTTAGACAATTATTTCTCATTGGTGATTTAGTTCCTAATAGGACAGTGCTACTCAGGTGCAAGACTTTAAATCTTGGTCTACAATACTGTAGTGCCCACCTGCAGCTGAGGGAAACAACTCACTATTGTTCTAAAATGATGGCTAAGTTTGTTTTCTCTCCCTACCTAGAGGCCATTTAAGAGGGACCTGATTCCAGCCACTCCAACAGTTATCAAAGTTCCTGACAACAAATCTTGAGTTCATCAATCATGAGTCCAGCCTTGGCAGGCAAAAGAAAAATGAGGAGGAGCACAGTAGATGGATGCTTTTGGAAGCTCTCATCAAAAAATTCCAATGGACTTTAATTTGGACATTTGAAATTTGCCCTGTTCTGACTTTTTCTGGTTCCCTGCCTAGAAACTGTAATACTAACTACTCTTGCCTTTACTTTTCCTTCACATCTCCTAGGCACAAGTCAAGGACCTTCTTTTCTCCCTATAGTTAAGAGTTATGCAATTTGGGAGTCTTTTAGATAGACCCACTGAAGGCAGTACCCCAATTGCCTCACCCTGTGTCCCTGTTCAGCATGGAAGAAGCCAGAGCGGTCTGCATCCCAATTCCCTATTGGCAATTTGGGTAAACTTCTTCAGAGGATGGTGTGATAAGAATAAAAGGTAAAAATTGGCTAGACAGTTAGGGTAAAAGACCCCAAAGAAAAGTAGCCAGTTTCCTTCTTGGCTAAAAGTCAAACTGTCCTTGGGCCTTTTAACAATATACTCTGTCCCAAAGGCCAAAAATGTTAAAAGTATTTGGGAGCTCTTATCCCTAAAAGATTTTAGGGTTACCTCTTCAGAGGGGGAATGTTACAATATCAATAGGTTCCATAAATTAAACTGGTCCAGACTATAAAATTGTCTAGTCTGTTGGAGGACCTACTTTTCCAGTCTCACTGGTCAATTACCTGGTGATAGAACCACTCCCAGGAAGACAGGTTCACCTTAAGTTATGCTAAATAGATGGGCAAAACACCTGGTATGTTGATTAGATAGTAAATATTTCTGCCTGGAACTCACTCAGACCCCCGACACCCCCTCCCCAAACTTTCAGACCAGCCATAGCCATGGAGGTCTCCATAAGTCGGTTTTCCTGAACTCTTCAGGAAAGTATAATTTCTCCTTTTCTTCTTCATGCCTTTCTTACTAAACATGCTTTCTCTACTGTTTTGGTCCATTCTTAAATTCTTTTATGAATGAGACTAAGAAACATCTAGGGGACCCTCTTTCTCCCCGTTTCATATTGGCAACCCAGATGGGACCCCAACATTCTAATAACTTATTTATTTGTTGGTCACGCACAGATTTTCAAGTGCACACTGAATCTGGCTCTTAAGCAAGCAGATGAAATTCCTTATCCATTTTGCTATCTTGTCTTGGAGCATTTGGGATTAGGCTGAAGAGGCTGGGCAGCTTTGGTGGAGCATTTAAAGAATTTAAGGTGGCTTGCCCCATGGACAAACAGAAAAAAATATTTTAAAAGCCCTTTTTCCCTGAATTTTTTCTCAGGCAGAGGGACTCGAAATTTTCTTACTAAACATGCTTTCTCTAGGCTGTGGGCTGGCCCCAGCATCTTGTAGTTCTTCACTTTTTCTCTATAAAGCTTCCTCCTCCCAGCCCTGTGGCTGCCAGTGAGCCACGTGTCTGACCTCCTAGCAGGCTCTAACCCTGCATGGCTTCATAATTTTCTTTCCTTCTTCCCACTATTCACCTCCTCAAGGCAGCTGTCAAGATTACTAGCTTGCCTGCCCTGAGGATTTTTCTTCCCATGGTTTTCCAACCCCTCCTTGCTTGATTTCTACCCGTGTTGGGGTCCCCTGCTAGCCTTACGTACCCTGCTTCTCATGACACCATGTCTAATTCAATTTTTCAAAAGTCACATACAGGACACCATTAAAATCGCCATCAACTGAGTCCTGGTCCAGTACCAAACGATCCTTAGTACCTTCTCCGATTTTGATGACACCCACCTTATAAAAGACAAAGGGGGAGATGTTGGGATAAATCAAGAGTGCCTGGAATGTAGAGCATGGCTGCCAGGCTGGAGACCTCCTAGTGAGAATGGCAGGAAACTGGCCTGCTCCATTCTAGGGACACTGTCTCTTACCCAACAGCCCCCAAGCAAAACTATTAAGTCCCTAATCCTTTAATCCTAACAGGGTCCCTTGTAGATCATGTGACTGGAGAACAGGACAAAGGCCACACAGCCTTAGAAGCCCCGTCCCTCCCCCCACCTGCCTGCCAGCCAGAAACCCAATCCCGCCTCTTTGCCCATGAAACTTTCCTATATAAACCTCTGCTTCCACCATAATAAATGAGCTGTCCACTGACATGGCCTCCCTCCCCCCACCGGTCTCTCTCCCTGATGGCAGTGGAGTTCGGGCAAGGGGGGGCTGGCAACATGACAGATAGCCCTAACCCCAGCAGCAGCACCATGAACAGTCGGGGAAAGACAGAAGATGTCGAATGTTGGGCCCCCTCTGGTCCACTCTCCCCAGGAGATCAAGGCCACCTCGGGAGCGGGAGCCCAGATCCTGCAGCTTGCCGTGTGTGCACTCAGGGAACGGAACTCCGGGCACCTCTCCTCACCTCACAGGACCCGTGTCGCTCTGCAGCTCCCGGTCTCTGGGCCTTCCGGCAGGAATTCATGGCAGCAGGCGGGTCCTCTGGGGCTTCGACACTTGGTCCGTCCCTGATTCCCTCAGGACTGGAAGGGAGGGTTCCGGGAAGCCCAGCTGTCGAGGGAAATCTGCAGGACGAAAGACTTGGCCTGACCCAAGGGTCAGAGAAGACAGCAGAAAGCCCTGGAAAGTCAATGCCCCGGGTCACTCGTCCAAACTTTGCCCATGAGGTTTCGAAGGTCCTACCTGGATGTCATTACGGAATCACCACGTCGACAAAGCCCAAGGAAGCCCAGTTTTTGTTCTTAGGAAGGTTCCGGAAACAAAAGAGGAAACAAAACAAAACAAGACCCTGAGCTTGGACTAGACAGAAGGAAGACTGCATCGCAGCTCTCCCATCTGTTAGCTGTGAGAGGAGGTGTTTAGCACGGTGACATGTCCCGAGTGAGGACACAGCTGTTGTTCACAGGCCCTGGGAACCCGACACCCGCTGAGGTTCTCCAAGCCCTCAGCACCTGTCTGGTAGGTAAAAACAAACAAAACAAGGGAAAGCCAGCAAGCTAGTCACTGCTGGGTTTAGAGGGCAGTGATTCAAGAGAGAGTGAGACAGGCTACTGCGGAGGAAGGAGTTTACTAGAAAAGCTAACAAACAGACCGAGAGGCAACAGCATGTGGGGGCTCCAAGGAGGGGTCCAGGCCCCAACACCAGAGACAGAGCTTGGCGGGACAGAGAAGAGAGGACCCTGCTCTCAGAGCTCTGAGGATGGGGGAGGTTCCACAGCACCGCCTTGCAGCCAGGCTCTCTGGTTCCCAGGCAGGTGGCGGGGAAGGGGATGAGGAGCAGGCCACCAACACCCACACCCTTTGGTGTAAACTCCCTACAGGGAGAGGTTTAGCTAGGGGCTCACAGTGTCTGTGTAGGCGCCCGTGGGTGTCTGTGAGAGCGGAGAGCGACCCTGGCCCGAGCAGCAGCTGGGTCCTAATGTTTCATTCTTATAGCTGTCTGCTAAATTCGTACTGGATCTTCACATGACCCTTTCAAGCATCTGTCCTAGGCATCAATGTCTCTGGTTTCTAAGAGGCACAAAAGGCTGTGCATGGTTTCACGATCTGACTCAAGGTCACCAAGCTGAAGTACAGGGGATGGGGCTCACTTCTGCTCATACAAAATGACACACGGTTCCTGCTATCTTGAGGTAGGGTAAATGTAAGAAAATTATAGTACTTAGGAAGCAAAGCCTGGAGAGGAAAGGGGCCCTGCGTCCTGGTCCTGGGATCTTGTCTGCTATTTGTGTTGAGAAACTTTATATGCCGCCAATCAAGCCCAAATAGCCCAAGGAGACAGTGTGTGTTTTCCAAAGGCATTTGTCAGTGACAGACCATAAATTACGTTTATTTATCTAGACCAGGCTGGCCTCAAATTCACAGAGATCTGCCTGCCTCAGCCTCCTAAATTCTGGGATTAAAGGCATATGCCACCATGCCTGGATACACATGGTATATTCTTGTTTTATTTTGTTTTCTGTCATTGAGACAGGGTTTCCCTGTAGCCCCAGCTGGCCTGGAACTCACTATGTAGACCAGGCTGGCCTTGAACTCACAGAGATCCACCTGCCTTTGCCTCCCAAGGGCTGGGATTAACACAGCTACAAGGTATATTCTTAAAGGCATCTCATTCAAAGAGGTCAAGGACAGTAAATAGACTGGACTTAGTTAGGACCCAAATGAGATCCTAAGTCTCTGGCCCTGTCTTCTTTCCTAAATATAAACAACACACCTCATAAATCCACCTTACAACGGGGTACAAAAGAAAATTCTTTCAGCTTTTAACCTTGTTGTAAACTACTTTTTTCCCCTATATTTTATTATTTTAATTTTATGTGTATAAGTGTACTGCCTGCATGTGTTTAAGTGCATCCATGTTGTAGGAGGAGGAGATACTAAAGGGGTCAAGTTTCCAAAGTGAGGACATAGGCCTTGGAACTCCCATGGGGCTCAAGTTCCTCAAGCCCTCGGCTTCTCCAGTCTGACCCAAAGGCACTGAATGGGAGAGCAGGGAACAGATTACACCTGCCCCATACAAAATGACACCCCGCCCCTCTGTGCCATGTGTCCCTCCTGTTGTGAGGGGGCTTATGACAGGTTCCTATGGTTTCTAGACTTACTGCAAACTTACTGATGGGCCCACAGCCTATTCTGATGCATCACCTGCACTCATTGATGCAATTCCCTCCTTGGACAGGACAGCTGAGGACATGTACCAGGACCCGGGCGTCCATTCGGGAAGCCTACCCTTTCCTCCTTTTTCTTTGTTATTACTTTTTGAGTCACTGTGCAATTCTGTAGCACAGGTTGTCTCAGATTTCCTGTGTACTCCAGGATGGCCTTGAGCTCCTTGTAATTCTCCTGCCTCAGCCTATCAAATGTTATGGTTACAGGCATGGGTAACCCAGACCAGCTGACTGTGCGGGTCTTGACTGTCTATAAAGTGTCACCTGGCTAGCCTGTGTGCAGTCACACCACCTACTTTCAGCATCAATAACTGAACCCAGGACTGTCAGGTTACAAATGGCCTCCCAGTTGTCCTGAATGTGTCTCAAGCCACTGGCCTGAGTGTGACACCTAGAGGACCCATTCAGGACACCAGTCAATGACATGCCCAAGCCTCTCAAATCACTATATCTTAGTCGAGCATGGTGGCACACCTTTAATCCCAGAACTTGGGAGGCAGAGGCAGGTGGATCTCTCTGAATTTGAGGCCACCCTGGTCTCCATAGCGAATCCAGGCCAGCTAGGGGTACAAGTAACATACCCCAACATGGAATCAGCATTTATGTTGTTTTATTTTACTTTTTTTGAGGCAGGGGCTCATGTAGCCCAGGCTGGATTGGAACTATGTAACTGAGGCTGGATTTGAAATCCTGATCCTGCTGCCTCAGTACCCCCAGTGCTGGGATCACAGGCATTCACCACCAAGCCCAGCTTGGGAGCAGCCTTGAACAAGCATCTAGAAGCTATTTCAGTCAGCCGGGCCTGGTCTACACAAAAACAGAGCTCTCACTTCAAGGGGATTAAGGAACAGTTTATTGTGGAGCCAAGAATGAGTGATCTTGACCCAGGAACACAGATTCAGGTCATTTCACATACCGTGTTCTAATGCGGTAAGGGTTTGATGAAATTTTTATAGTAACAGAACAAAACAAAGTCATAAATGAAGGCACTTTTTAAGTACAGTGGTGAGAGCCCAGGAGATGGCTTAGAGGGTAAAGGTGCTTGCTGCCAAGCCTGACAACCTGAGTGAGCTCCGACCCAGGACACACTCTTGAAAGTTGTCATCTGACCACCACAGGCACGTAGTCCTACACACATGCCACAAAGAAACACATAAGCATACTCAAATAAATGAAATTAAAAAATTCACACAGAGATGGCTCAGTAGGTAAACCTGAGTTCGCTTCCCAGAACCCGCCCCATGTGGCCGCAGCGCTTCTCACCCCAGCACTGCAAAGACAGAGACAGGAGGATCCCCAGGGCTTGCTAGGTTGTCAGTCAATTCAAATCTGGGAGCTGCAGGTTTACTGAGAGAGCCTGTCTCAAAAAAGGCCGGGGCTGGAGAGATGACTCAGCAGTTAAGAGCACTGGCTGCACTTGCAAAGGACCTGGGTTTGGTTCTCAGTATCCATGGGGTCTATCTGAAACTCCACTTCTAGGGAACCTGGCACTCTCCTCTGGCCTCTGTAGCAGTTTCACAATATGGGTGCCCTTACATGCAGGCAAAGCACATATATAATAAATAAATTTTAAAAATTGAAAAAATAGCTGGGCATGGTGGTGCACACCTTTAATCCCAGCACTAGGGAGGCAGAGGCAGGAGGATCTCTGTGAGTTCAAGGCCAGCCTGGTCTACATAGTGAGTTCCATGCCAGCTGGGGCTACAGGGAGACACTGTTTCAAAAAAACAAAGAATCAAAACAATAACAACAAAACCAAACAAAATAAAACAACAAAAAGGTAGAGAGGGACTGAGGAGGCTGGCTGTGGCCCTCTGGCTTCCATGCTCACCTGCACACAAGCATGTTCCCACAGTCACATATAATGTGCACTGTATAAACATACACACTAAAGAGATCAACAACCCCCCCCGAAATAACGAAACATCAACACAAACCACTTCAGGGAAGCATCAGAAAGGCAGGTTACAATAAAGCGCGGATCCTTGTTACAGGATCTCACTGATGGAAGCCAGTGGGCTGTGTGTGCATTTGAAAGGATTTACTTAGCAGTCACAGGGAAGGATTTGGGTGAAATAGAGGTGGACTGTGAATCAGCCACCCAGGGGGACAGGACAGCCAAAGACAGTTTGACTGCAGACCAGCAACACTCTCCACAACCATGAAGTTCTTGTGCATCAATCGCCTGTAGCATCTTTAACATAGGTGTCACTCTGGTATCCTGGGAACTTTCAGTTCACATGTTGAAGGCCTATACTCCCAGCACACCAGAGGCACAGGCAGGAGGATCACTGCCACATTTGAGGTCAGACTGGTCTACAAACTGCGCTTCAGGCGAGCCAGTGCTACACAGGGATTCCCTGCCTATGGGGAAAAAGAAGGAATCAGGGTCTGAAGAGATGGCTCAGAGATTAGGAGCACTTGTTTTGTTTAAAGACAGGCTCTCACTAGTAGCTTTGGCTGGCTGGAACTCATTACAGGCTGGTTCAGACTCACAGACATCTGCCTGAGGTTGTCTCCCGAGTGCTGTGATTAAAGGTATGCACCACCATAGCCTATGAACACTGGTTACTCTTGCAGAGGACCAAGGTTCAGTTCTCAGCACCCACACTGGGGCTCAGAATCATCTGTAACTCCAGTTCCAGGGGGTCTGATGCCCTCTTCTAGCCTACGTAGGCACCAGGCTCACGTGATACACATACACATAAAATAAAATCTTTTATAAAACTCCAAACGCGCGCGCGCCACACACACACACACACACACACACACACACAAAGCTGCTTCTGCCAAAAAGCATCATGCCTGTCTCCTTCACTTCTGATCCAATGTCTGTTTGACTCAGTTTCCTAACCTAACACATCCCCAGTATGTTCTTCACTTGCAGTAATCCTCCTGCCTGGGTTTCTAACTGCTAGGATTATAGGCATGATCACCACAGCTTGCATGACTTAAGTGTGTACCCCTCTTGTCCCCTATCCATGCCTAAACCTCAGGTAGGTACCCCCAAGACAGGCTTCGGGCAATTTGTATCTTTTTCTGCCTAATGTGACCAATTCCAAGGAACCCCCTACTTCTGCTTTTCTTTTTAAAAAAAAAACATTTTTACTATTTAAAATTATGTGTATTTGTGTGTGTGTCGGGGGTGGGGTGGGAATGCTGGCTCCCTCGGAGGCTGGGGGGACAGAGCCTATGGAGGTAGTTATAGGCAGTCGTGAGCCACCCGACTAGGGGAAGTAAGCTTAGGTCATCTGCAAGAGCACTACATGGTCTTAACCATGGAACCATCTGTGCAGCCCACTTCGGCCTTTTGCAATCACTAGTCAATTCAAAGGGCATATGAGGTGCTGGCTGACCCTAGACTCGACTCGTTGGGACTGCAGGTGTCTGGGCTTCCATCCTAAAGAAAATGTTTATAGCACCAGTCTGCCCAATTGCTGATCACAGACCCTTAGCGTGTCCACAGGGTCCCAAGGACAGGCCAGTACCACGCATCTGGAAAGGACCCCCCAACACTTACATACACTGGTCATTGGATTGTCGGTGCAAAAGCATAACTCTCAGCTCAGTGGGGATAAAAGCTAGTTTATTCTCGAGCCAAATCTAAGTGTCTATGGTAGGGAACACAAATTCCATGTTCCAATGTGGTAACCATTTCACTAAGTTTGATAGTAATAGAACAAAGTCATAAATCAAGATGCTTTTCATAATAGGCCTTAATACAAATAACAGAATGTATGAACTCCAGTGGAGGGGCTATGGGAGGTGCCAAAGGGAAGGGGTATAAAGATGACTTTATGTATGAAATACACAAAAATTCAATAAAAATTTAAAAATAAATAAATCAGGATGCTTTTATAGTCATTGGTGGAAACACTAAGTAGGCTGATACAGCAAAAGACAAACCTCAGCTATAGGCCTCAGATGCTATCTGATGGTATTCTTAGCCTTTTGATTGGTGGGGACTGTTTCTTTTGTTAAATTAATGCATTTGGTTAGTCACAAGAATGTTAATTCAGAAACAGAGGTGGGCAAGGAGTAGTTATTTACCACAGCTAAGGAAAGAAGTCCCCAGATAAACTGTGAATAGGCTCTGCATCTACAATATTCCAAACTCCCCAGGTCACTGAAGTGTTCATCAGCTGGTGGGCCCGGCATGAAGTTCAGCTCAAGATGCAGGAGCTCTTCCTGGCTTTTGTCCAATTCCTCCTATCAGTCCCAACACTGCTTAAGTTTTGACACACTGAAGAGACTGTGTCCTCAGCTTGAGCACAAACTGTGAATACACGTATTTCCCCAATTATATATACTACCCAACACAAGTCACAAAGGAATGCCACACAGCTGCGGTCGAATTAAGTATCCTTTATTTGCCCCCACCGAGAGGAGAAGCCGAGTATCTTTGTCAAACTGCTGCGTTCTTCAGATCTTTTGTGCCGACTTGCTTATGTGTGACCCCCTGCTTGCTTAAGTCAGCGATATGAGTTCACTATCAAATTCCCTACAAACTCGAGAAGGGGGCTGGTCCAACCTCAGAATGGCACCCAGGGTGTGAATAAACTCCCTCTCTTTCACCCGACTGCGCAGCTGGACTCTTGACTACCAGAATTTTCCTTAACAACATCATGCGAGGGGTAAGTCAAGCACCATAGTTACAGCATACCAGGAGCAAGCCAGCTAACAAAGGCTTCCATTAGACAAAGAAGTGGCTTCAGAAACAACCTTCCCAGTATTTCAGAAACAACGGACTTCCGCAAACTGCAGGTGCAGCTGGATGATACTGGTTTGCCTGGGTGAATTTGGGAGGGGAGAGGGAGGGGGAAGTGGCTGGGCCAAGAACAGAATGGAAGCAGCTACAACAAAATGGGGAGTTCTTCTCAAGTGGAGCACTGAGGACCCGAGCCAGGGCTCCCGGGTGCAGAAGGCCATGCAGTCCCCGCAAACATCCCCTCTCCAGGTCTGCGGGCTCCATCCTCACCAACCTGCTTTCCTGACTCCTCCCCATCCCCACCCACCCTCCAAGTCATCCACCTGCAGCTCCAGCTCCACCCAGTTCGGACTCCTGCAGCACCCACGGGGAATCCTCCCAGGGTCCCCAGTGCTGTCCTCGGTGCTCGGAGGACCACGTCCCCAGGGGACCACGCAGCAGCCCACATCCCGTCTGGACCCGAATCCTCCCTGCAGTCCTCCCTGCACCCGGAGTCGGCCCATTACTCTGCACAAACCCATCACCTCCCAGCATCCTCCCCGCGCCGCCACTCACCTCATCCAGCTCAGCGCTTCTGCGTAGGGCACGGCGGGCCGGCAGAGACTTCTCGTTACGGAAGCCGAGAAGCCCCAGAGTTCAGAATCCAAACTCCTCCAGGATCCCGGAAACTCTAACAGAATCCTATTACCTAAATGGCTATAACCCCTCAAGTCCACCCTCCACCGCATTTGCGGAGGACGACGACGCGCATGCTCACAGCTACTCGCGAAGTTGCACCTGCCAGTACTAATCATGGCTGATGAGCTGGGTTTGTACCTTCAGAAACTGCCCTGGCGGCACCCGCAGGCCACTTTCTGTTAGTTCCGTACAGCCGGGGAAGGCAAGTGGGATGTCAGAGTAAAAGTCCCAGGCTGGCTCACATTGGCAGGGGATGTATTTACTACTTGTCTGTACGTGTGTCTATTTCTAAGAGACTGTGACGTTACATAATCCTAAAAATACCTTTTCTCTGTATTTTGGCAGGAACTGTGGTTTTTATTGAATTGAAAACTAAGTGGGATTGTTGAACAAAGTGTAGAACAGGGAGCATTGAAGGTGAGGGTCTGGAATGAACCGTGCGAACGAGAAAGTTCCCAAGAAATCTTGCATCTTGGACTTATTCTGGCCTGAACTGGAAACGGATTTCTTATATATCTTTGCAGAGGAATGACATTTGATCATTTTCATTCTGGTTAGTTAACAGAATTAGAAAAAAGAATTGGAGGCCAGGAGTCATGGCTTCTAGTTTCTCCCTGAAGCAGGGTACAGGGTAACCCCAAGAGCCCCAGAAGAGTCAACGGGACATCAAGGCAGAGGGAGGAGTTGGGAGTGAGGCTCAGCAGGGCAGAGGGTGGGAGGGCAGAATCACAAGACATCATCTCTGGAATTGTTTTAGGTTTTTTGGAGACAATTTCTCACTATGTGGCCCAGGCTAGCCTGGAACTAGGTGGGCAGGGGAATATTGGTGACTGGGGACAGACTGGTCAAATGGGGAAAGCATCCAGTACTGTTGAATGACTACATTGAACGACCTAGCCTAGAATGTAAGAATAAAGTGGAATGCCGTGTGAGGTATCTCCAGGGTTAACACTCTCTAGCCCTGGCTCTCCTGGAGCTCTCTGTGTAGCCAAGGCTGGCCTTCAATTTGCAGTAAGGCTCCTGCCTAGACGTTCTAAATGCTGGGATTACAGGCATGTGCCATCATGCCAGGCTTCAGTGATGGTCTTGATTGCCCCACAGAGAACAGACTACAGGAGTGATGCAGTGGTGAGCGGAGTTTTAGGGAGGAAGGTAGAGTTTCAGGGGTCTCAAAGACTCAGCTCAGCTGTCCATCACCACGTCCAAATTATAATACACTACATGGAAATTAATTTTATGCAAAATCAATTCATTCTTTTTATCTGCTGCTTCCCTGCAGCTCGGTGTTAACCACCCACCTAGCGCACCCCAGGCACCACTCGCTCTCTCAACACTTTCCTTATTTTCTCTCTGCCCAGCAGGCCTGGCACAAAGCCCATTTTCTTGCAGCCACTGAACAACAGGCAGTCCGTCAGGCAGGTGGAGCCTGGTGATGCCCCATGGAGGTGATAACCAATAGGCAGGGGAGTCCGCGTGTCCCTGCACGTCCGCAGTGCGCTTAAGCTAATGGGAATCTTCAAAAAGCGCCTGGAAATCTGGGTGCAGGTTTTATCTCAGGCTGACCTCAGCCATGAAGCCAGGTCATTTTGTTCTCTTGATAAATCACGCCTCACTTTCCCCAGTTTTACACTGACACACTTTCTCTTTTTGTTCCTTAATTATATTTTTCTTTATGGTCTGTCCAGTAGTATTTGTAAGCAGGAAGATTTTTTTTTTTTTTTTTTTTGCTTTTTGAGAAAGGGTCTCCCTGTAGCCCCAGCTGGCCTGGAACTCCCTATGCAGACCAGGCTGGCCTCGAACTCACAGACAACCAAGCTCAACCTACAACTTAGATTCTTAAAACAAACAAACGAACAACAAACAAATGGCCAGGCATGGTATGGTAGCTCACTCCTTTAATCCCAGAAATCGAGTGGCAGAGGCAGGCAGATCTTTTTCAGTTTGAGGCCAGCCTGGTCTACATAGTGAATTCTAGGCCAGTCAGGGCTATATAGTGTGACTCTATTTCAAAAAGAAAAAGAAAAAAATCCTGCTATGCAATGGATCTGTGGGAAACCCCACTAAATAGATGAAATAGACATATGTAAATGCTGACCATCATATAAACAAATTGCAATCATACACATTAGACACCTTGATGTATAATACTGTCTTGTCACCCCTCTGTCACACTATATAAATATTACTATTCCACAATAAATAATATTGTTGATACAGATTCCTCCAAACTATCCAATAGTTGGTAACAATGTCTTATACTAGTTTCTATAGAGAAGCTTTTCTCAACTTGCTTTTAAGGATTTCCTCCTAGGATAAAATTTATACCCATGCTACAAATGTATGCATTTAATGCTTTTCCTTGCAAGCCCTTTATAAATTCTTCTCCTGTATATTGTAGGTGTTTAAACAAGCAGTGCATACCTAGATATTTTTCTTAAGTACAAATTCTATAATGTACAATGAAGTCTTTTAAAATCCTTTTAAAGAATTTTCTTCAAGTAACAGGATATCTCGGTTATAAATATGTTTATAGACTATGACTAGGTTTCTCAGTAAAGCCTTTCACACAAGGCTAATCTGAGTTGCTTGGCATTTAGTGCAATCTGACATGCTGTTGAAGGTCTTCCTGCATTCAGTACACACACACACACTCACACACACACATCTTTCCCCAGTATGAATTTGATGCTATACTTGAAGTTGGCATGCACTGCTAGATGATTTCCCATGCTCCTCACTGGCAACACTCATATGAGGATATGACAGTCCTTCAGTTGGGATGTATTACGGAACAATTTTCCAAGGAATTCCTAAGGCTTCTCTCCAGTGTGTGTTCGCTGATGGCATTTCAACACTGACTTCTGGAGGAAGCCCTTCCCACATTTTTGACAGACAAAAGATCTCCCTCTAGTGTGAGTCATCTGATGTCTAGGCAAAGAAGACTTATTGTAGAAGCCTTTCCCACATTCAGGGCACACGTAGGGTTTCTCTCCGGTGTGAATTTGCTGATGGGATGTCAATGCTGACTTCTGGAGGAAAGTTTTCCCACATTTGTGACAGACAAAAGGTCTCTCTTTAGTGTGAGTTATCTGGTGTCTATGCAAAGATGACCTGCCAAAAAAGCCCTTCCCACATTCTGTGCACACATAAGGTTTCTCCCCAGTGTGAATTCGCTGATGATCTCGGAGTTGGCCTTTAGAAGCTAAAGCTTTCCCACAGTCACTGCATTTGTAAGGCTTCTCCCCAGTGTGAATTCTCTGGTGTGTTCTAAGTACTGATTTCTGACTGAAGGCTTTCCCACACTCACTACATACATGGTGTTTTTCTCCAGTATGAATTTTCATGTGTAGATTGAGGGATGATCTCCGGCTGAAGGCTTTCCCGCATTCAGAGCATGCGTAAGGTGTCTCCCCTGTGTGAATTCGAAGATGCTCTTTCAGTTGGGAGGAATTACTGAATGATTTCCCACAGTAGTTGCATTTGTATGGTCTCTCCCCTGTGTGGATTCGATGATGTACGGTTAGTTGAGACGTATGACTGAAAGATTTCCCACAGTAACGGCATTTGTAAGGCTTCTCTCCCGTGTGAGTTTGCTGATGAGATGTCAGCTGTGACCTCTGAAAGAATGCTTTTCCACATTTGTGGCAGACAAAAGGTTTGTCCCTAGTGTGAGTTATCTGATGTCTCAAGAAACCTGACCTGCCATGGAATGCTTTCCCACATTCAATGCACGTGTATGGTTTCTCACCTGTGTGAATTCGTTCATGCTCTTCAAGTTGGTACTTAGAAGCCAAGGTTTTCCCACAGACACTACATTTATGAAGCTTCTCTCTATTGTGAATTCGACGGTGCACATTCAATGTGAATGAGTAAGTAAATGATTTCCCACAGTCCCGGCATTTGTAAGGCTTCTCCCCTGTGTGAACCCGATGATGCATCTTCAATTGAGATGCGTAAGTAAATGATTTCCCACAGTCATTGCATTTGTGAGAATTCTTCCCCATGTGAATTCTCTGGTGCATGCTGAGTTCTGACTTCTGGTTGAAGGTTTTCCCACACTCACTGCATGCATGGTGCATTTGTCTAATATGAATTTTCTGGTGCACAGTGAGACTCGACTTTCGCTTGAATGCTTTTCCACAGTCACCACATTCATAAGGTTTCTCCTTCATGTGAATCTGATAATGCACCTTCAGTCGGGATGTACAACTAAATGATTTCCCGCAGATGGTGCATTTGTAAGGTTTTTCCCCAGTGTGAATCGTCTCATGTGTGCTGAGGATTGACTTCTGTTTGAAGGCTTTCCCACATATATGACACACATAAGGTCTCTCACCAGTATGTATTCGATAATGTACCTTCAGTTGGGAAGTATTATTGAACGATTTCCCACAGTCATGGCATTCATAAGGTTTCTCCCCAGTGTGGATTCGATGATGCACCTGCAGGTTGGATGTACGACTAAATGATTTCCCACAGTCAGGACACTCATAAGGCTTCTCGCCTATGTGAGTTCCTTGATGGGAGATCAACTCTGACCTCTGGAAGAAGACTTTCCCACATTTGTGACAAACAAGTCTCTCCGCAGTGTGAGCTGTCTCATGTTTATGGAAAGCAGACTTGTCGTAGAAAACCTTTCCACAATCAGTACATTTGTCTGGTTTCTCATGAGACTGCATTTCTTGCTGCATACGTGGCTGTGTATGGGTGAGAACTTTTCTGCACTGCTTACTGTTGCACGACTTTTGTCCTGTATGAGGAATTGGACAGTTGGCATTAGAAGAGTCTTGTGTGAAGAGTTGACCAGATGTAACAATATCATTAAACTGTTTGGTCACTTTGCTTTGATTCTGTTTATTTCTTTTTAGGTTAGGTGCTGAATTTTTTGAAAGAGAGCAAGATTTTGGAGGTCCTTTTTGTGTAGAAACAAGGTTGGGTCCCGAAGGAATGGCTTTTCCAGATTCTTTGCTTTCGCAGCCTCTGGCTGTGCGCAGTGTTTTCTTGTCGAGGAGAACACCTGGACCCGAGGGTGGGGTCCGGTTTTGCTGGTCTCTCTTTGCAGGGTCAGCATCTTGCCACAGTTCTTCTAAAGTGGACCACCATGAACCATCTCTTCTGACTTCACCTGCCTTCTCAATTTGAAACGGTGCCCACTCAGGGAATGTCTGTCGGTGGGTGTCAAGCTCTGATTCCACTTCTGGGAGAAGAAAGATAAAGGAACAGGCACAATCAACAGGATGAGTGAGGAATTGCAGTGCCAATAAACTCTGTACAGAAGAGACCTCGGTGTGAGCTCCTCCTCATGATGGTGACAAGGAGCAGAACACACCCGTAGCCCTTCGATGTGCCAAACACTTAACCAGCTCTTCTAGCATGTGCTAGGCAACTTCTATATAATGGAAATAAACTCACTTTAGTTGCAGGGCCACTCCATAAAGCAATTACACCTATGCTCCCTGTTTAACGGATAAAGAAGTAGAAACATGAATACTTAAGTCAACAGCTCTGATAATCTGTGGGGAAGATGACATTTGGACAGAGATGACCAGTTCAATGTATGTAGGAGATCTCGACACCAAGAGCTGGTCGGCTAAGAAGGGGAAGACGCACATACGGTTGTTGCAAGGTACTTTCAGTGGACAGTTGAGGGCTGGAAGAGAACACTATAGCACACACGTTCATTAGCTCTAGAGAAATGCATAATCATGTCCTTGCCCATTTTTTCATTTGATTTCTCTCTCTCTCTCTCTCTCTCTCTCTCTCTCTCTCTCTCTCTGGTGTGCGCACTTGTTTTTTTTTTTTTTCTCTCTCTCTCTCTCTCTCTCTCTCTCTCTCTCTCTCTCTCTCTCTCTCTCTCTCCCCCTCCCCTCCTCCTCCTGTTATGAGGTGAGAACCAAAGACCACTCAGACACAGAAAATTGCCAAAAGGAGGTCTTTATAGCTGGGTCAGCGACTACACTGGGCATTCGGGTCCCAAGTGCAGCCCTGAACCATTCTTAGGGTAAGCTTTTACACAGAATAACCACTTCCAGGGGTGGAAAGTTTAAGTTCTCAAGCTTAGGGATGGAAAGCCTGCTGTAACAATTTCTATTCTGCAAGAGCAAGCAGAAAGTGCAGAAGCCGTAAATTTGCTGTTCGCAGGAGCAAACAGGCACACAGACCTGTTTTCAAACCCATACCTTGGTGCAGCTGGTCAAGCTGTTACCACTTGAGGTAACTGCCTCTAGCCTTAACTACTGGGTTTCGCTGGGGCCTCTTCTAACACGGTGCAGCCTGGCCAGCCTGAATGCCCCACCACACTCCTTCCCTCTTCTCTCTTCATTGCTAGAGATGAGGCCTTTTTTAAAATGTTTTTTTGAGACAGGGTCTCCCTGTAGCCCCAGCTGGGCTGGAATTCATTATGTAGACCAGGCTGGTCTAGAACTCACAGAGATCCACCTGCCTCTGCCTCCCAAGTGCTGGGATTAAAGGCATGTGCCACCATACCTGGCCAGAGATGAAAGTCTTACTCCATCTAGCAAGCACTGTATCCCTGAGCTACAACCTAAGATCCACAAATTTTCATTTTTAAACATTGATTTTATGCATACACTGGCTGTTTCTATTTTTTAAATCTCTCTTGATGTATTCCTGGTTATACATTCTGATTACTTTTCATTTTGTGTATATTACAAAAATTGACATATTTAAGTTAATTCCACATTTAGGTTAATATCAAAGTATCCAATGTAGGACTTTCTGTGGAAAGTATGAGATTAGAAACTGCCTCTATGGGAGATGGTGGAGGGGAGTAATTAACAGAAGAAAAAACAGACTCCAGTCCAAACATGGAAAGAGCTGAAGAGCTTCAGAAATTCACAAAGGTAGTGACAGGATCTCTCAATCTGCACAAAATAAACATAAAACAGACTGAAGATCTTTTTTAAAATAGTATTTATTATTTTCATTTTTGTATGTGTTGCTTGCATGTGAGTAAGTGTACCCATATCGTGCAATGCCCGCGGAGGTCAGAAGAGACCATGGAATCCCCTGGAACTTGAGTTACAGATGGTTGTGAACTGCCATGTGGGTGCTGAGAATCGAACCTGGGGCCTCTGCAAGAGCAGCCAGTGCTCTTAACTGCTGAGCCCTCTCTCCAGCCCCACAGCCTGAAGGTCTTAATGTAATGCCTAAAACTCTGAAACTGCTAGAGGGAAAAATAAGCAAAATTTAAAAAACTACAGGCATAGTTAAGATCTTTTGGGATCTTAACTAACACAGGGAATAATACCATGAATTAATAAATGAGATTATATAAAATTAAAAATCTGCACAGCAAAAGAAACAGCCACTATGGTGGAGAGACTGGGAAAGAACTTTGCTAAATATATGAGATGGGAATTAACATCTAGATTATATAAAGAACGGCAAAAATCCAACCCCAGTCTCCCAAAGACACCAATTAACACTCAGGGTGTAATGGCACATGCCTTTAATCTCAGGACTGGGAGATAGAGACAGGTAGACCTGTGTGTTTCCAGGCCAGGTGAGACTCTGTCTCAAAAAAAGAGCCAAGAAATGAAATGGATACTTCCTAAAATACAAATGGTCAATCAATATTTAAAAACATGTTCAATATCCTTAGCTATCAGGGAGATGCAAATTAAAACTATTTTCCTACTCTCTAGCTCCCCCCAGTCAGAACTATCTACTAAGGGAACAGACACAGGAACGTAAACTGGTGTAGCCACCAAGGAAACCAGTGTGGTGGTTCCTCAAAGAACTAAAAATAGAACCACCATCTGACCCAGCTCTACCAATCCTGGGGATGCACCTGTGCTCTCCATGAATATACAGACAGTTACATGTTGACATTTATTGCTGCATTATTCACAATGGCTAAGACGTGAGACCGGATGTCTATCCACAGATGAGTGAGTGCATAAAGGAAATGTGCTGCATATACACCACGGATTTTCTGTGAGTATCAAGAAAAATGTCATCATGAGACTTGCAGGAAAATGGATGGACCTTGAGATCATTGTGTTGGGTGAATTAAGCAAGTACTCACAAAGACAAATACCACACTTGGCCTCACAGGTGAACCCCAGATTTAAATTTATGTAGGTGTGTACATAAGCATGTGTGCATGTGCTGTGTGTAGGCCACAAAAGCAGAAAGGAACTGCGCAAAGGGAGGAACAAAAAAAGCCATGGAAAATACGTGACACGGACGCAAAAGGGAGGCCATTTGTGGGAGGAACAGGCTCAGTACTCGGGCCTGGGAAGGACGGCAGAAGGGGAGCAAACACGAAGAACGTATGACACACGGGTATGATAACTCCATAATGAAACCCATTTGTTTGTAGACTACCTTAGACTATCCATGTAAGCCGGCATGACTATGCTAAGGGCTTTTCCATCACTCACTAATATATCTTGTCAATGTTGACGTGTCCTACTATCTGCATATTTATTTACACAAACTTTCACAGTACTGGGGGTTGAACCAAGGACTCAGTGCATGCTAGGCTGGCATGCTACCACAGAGCTAATATATCCTCAGCCCTGACCAATGTCAACATGAAGAAAAGGCCACTTTACCCCTAACCAGAGCAGATGCTCAGACCTCAATGACCGCTAAGCTGATCTCACTTGCTTTTTCTTGTCATCCAAAAGTACTTCATGGAACAGCAACTCTCCCTGTCCTGAAAGTCAACACCAGTGTCCCCTCACATGTAGGTTGAGGGGCTCATTTCTGAAACTTCAAAACCAGTTACTCTTTACTTTTTTAAAAATATTTTAGTTATTATGTTTATTTTATGAGTGTATTGCCTGCATGTATGTAAGTGCACCCATGTCGTACAATGCCCTCAGAGGTCAAAAGAGGGCATCAGATCCCCTGTAATGGGAGTTAAGGAAGACTGTGAGCTGCCGTGTGGGTGCTGGGAACTGAACCTTGGTCCTCTGCAAGAGCAACCAGTGCTTTTAACTACTGAGCCATCTTTCCAGCCCCTGAAACCAGTTAAGCTTTAAACTCCCATTTTGACAGAGTTCCAGTTCCAGTAGCCTTCTGTTAAATGAACATGATTTTTCCATGAACTCAAAGCAGCTGTAACCACCTACACAAGGCCTACAACAAGATCAAGCTAGTCAAACTTCCAGCATGGACTTGGGAGGGGCTCATAAGGCCCCTCTCCTAGGTGAGGAGCTGTCCACAATTGAGAGCTGCTGGGGGAGGAGTCATTTTTCTTTGGAGGCGTGGCCACTGTGGGTTGCCCCAGCTCCAGCAGGTGGGCCACACATTGATGTATGGGTGGCACTAATTGATCTCAGTGATTTCTTTCTCCATTTTTTTTTTTTTTTAAAGAACGTTAAGTTGGGAGAGGGATGTGTTGTTCGAGGAGGGCTGGGGGGAGGTAGAGGGGGATGGTTATAGTCAACATACATTATATAACTGTATAAAGTTCTCAAAGAACATTTTAGAAAGGGAATTTCTGACTGAATTTCCAACTTGGATGAGGAAGCTCCCAATTTCTGATCTCCCAAAATTAATAACAGCGCCATCTCACGGAGAGTGCCCCTCAGTGGCTAAGTAAGACAGCGCATGTGGTGTAAGCACAGAGACCGTGGAAAACCTGCTCAGCACCCTCCCCACAGAACTATGAGGACTGGGTGTGCAGAATGGACAGGCCCATTAGGGGAACTCCTGTGTAGAGGCTTCATTGGAGGAACACACTGTGCACTGGTGCCACACGGAGGGGGGTGTCAACAAAAGTAGAACCACCAGAGGGAAGGAGATCAATGAAGTCAAGGACACAAGAGGAAATGACACAGCACAACATTATAACACAGTACAAAAGGTACACATGGAAAACCCAGATATGATGAAATGCTCTAATTAGAAAAATTAAATGAGGGGCTGGAGAGCTGGCTCAGCAGTTAAGAAGCTGTTCTTCCAGAGGACTTGGGTTTGGTTCCCAGCATCCACATGGCAGCTAACCACCATCTGTAACTTTAGTTCCACGGGATCTGATACCCTCTCCTGGCCTCTGCAGGGTGTTGCATGACACAGGTGCACTTACATCCATGCAGGCAAAGCACTCATACACATAAAATAAAAATAATAAACTAAAAAAAAATTTTTTTTTTTTGGTCTTTTTGACACAGGGTTTCCCTGTAGCCCCAGCTGGCCTGGAACTCACTGTGTAGACCAGGCTGGCCTCAAACATACAGAGACCCGCCTGCCTTTGCCTTGAGAGTGCTGGGATTAAAGGCATGTGCCACCATGCCTGGCCCTAAATAAAATATATTTAAAAAAGAAAAATTAAATGGGGACAAAGACACAGTCCTTTCAGGTATCACATGGTAATATAGGAACAATCTGGTAGGTCCAGTGTTGATAAACAGGATGTGCACATACCAGTCTGTGTGCAGAGCATCAGGAGAAGAACATGGTTGGGTTAGTCAACATACAGTTACCTCCATGATGAGGCAGCCCACTACCCAGAATTCACCTCCGAGAGTCTTATTCTAGCCATTAACCCATATTTATAACAATGTATTGCAGCATTAGTTTAGATAGTGAGAGGAGGGGCTATAGAGATGGTCCAGTGGTTAGAGCACTGGCTGCTCTTGCAGAGAACCTGGGTTCAAATCCCAGCATTCACATAGTAGCTAACAACCATCTGTAACTGCAATACCAGGGGATCCAACATCCTCTTCTGACCTCCGCAGGCACTGCACAACACTGGTGCACTTACACACATGCAGGCAATACACTCATACACATAAAATAAAAATTAAAAATAATTCAAGTATAGTTAAAAAGAAAAAAAAAGGAGATGAAAGAGCAATCCAGGGTCTACCACCACCACTGGGGGAACAGGTAAGGGCGGACGGCTGACAGCAGGCCCTAAGGACATCCACCTCCCTGGGTAATCCTCAAATACTCACCGCGACCCCAACACTGCTGAAGTGGGAGCTCAGCCGCCCCCTTCAGTGTCTGCTTTCTTCTCCTCATCCTGAAGACGGCTCCAGGGCTGGGAATGCGACATCCTATGAATTGGAAGAATGTTGGATCTGTGTGTACCTTCTGGATCTTAGAGGTCTTGGAATGAATTCTGCATAGGCTCATTGCAAAAGCCAACATTTTGTACTGGACGCACAGTAACTAATACAGAGGCGCCAAAAAGGAATGGATTATCAGGAGAGACTGAGGGGGGATAAAAATCAAAACATAACCAGTGGCACACTTTGGATAGCCCACCATGTCCCGCAAAAAGAAGGAAGGAAATCCTTAATGAGGCCCACCCCAGTTTTCCCAAGTCACTTAACTCACCCACTGACACGAGGTGGCTGTAGATCTCCAGCATCACGTCCTGGTACAGGCATCTCTGGGCAGGGTCCAGGTGCCGCCACTCCTCCTGGCTGAACTCCACAGTCACGTCCTCAAATGACACCCACCTCTGTAACAAGGCAGCCCAGGCCACAGTGAGTCACTCATCACTGACGAGTGATTCCTCAACACGATGTGTCACTAGGTCTCCCAGAAAATGCTCATTTTACACCTTATTTCAGGGGATAAAGAAAGTTCATAAAAAGTGTCCTGTCATCTCTTGCACACCGCTTCTCTCTGAGGATGACCAGAAATGGATTCTCTCTAAGGCTCCCACAATGAAAAGCAGCACGACACTGAGAGTCAACATCAATCCAGGCTACAGGGGAAGCGACTTAATGACCTGGCTAACCATCATGTTAGGCTGAGAACCGGACAACAGAGGATCATGAGAATGAAGACTGTGCACAAAACCCCTGTGCTGTTTGGTTTTAGCTGCCAGAATTCTGAACTCTCATTCATTCAGAAAAGCACATTCCAAAATGTCTCCAATATTTACAGAAGTAAATAGTCCATCCATGAACTGAACGATAACCCAGTGAAAGGAATATTCAAACCAAAATACTTGGGACTGGAGAGAAGGCTCAGTGGTTAAAGGAACTGGGTTCTCTTCAGAGGACTTGGTTCCCAGCACCCACATGGCAGCTAACAACCATCCATAACTGCAGTTACAGGGGAGTCATTGCTCTCTTCTGGCCTTCCTGGGTATTGTGTGCATGTGGTACATTTAAATGTAGGCAAAATACTAATATCCATGAAGTAAAAATAAATAAAAATTTAAACAATATTTTGAAACAAATTTATTTTTATTTTTGGTCTTTTTGAAACAGGGTCTCCCTGTAGCCCCAGGTGGCCTGGAACTCACTATATAGGCTAGGCTGGCCTTGAACTCACAGCAATCCACTCCCTCTGCCTCCTGAGTGCTGGGATCAAAGATGTGGGCCACAACGCCCAGCTTTAATACTATTTTTTTAAAAAAAAATAATTATTAGAAGGACACGGGTGCACTCACATACATGCAGGCAACACAGTCATACACATAAAACCAAAATAATAAATAAAATATTTTTTTTTTAAAGTTAAGCTGATGGGGCTGGAGAGATGGCTCAGTGGTTAGAGCACTGACTGCTCCTGCAGAGGACCTGGGTTCGATTCCCAGCATCTGCATGGTGCCTAACAACCAAGAGTCCAGGGGATTCGTCACCCTCTTCTGACCTCTCAGGCAGTGCACGCCTTTCATTGGGTTTTCTTTCGGTTCATGGGTGCTCTCACATACATGCAGGCAATACACTCATACACATAAAACAAAAATAATAAAAAAAGGAAGCAAAAATGATGGTTTCTGTGTGTATATGCATGGATACTTTAACATGGAAATCAGTGCCAGAGAGATGGCTCATTGGGTTAAGGTACTTGCTGTCAAGGCTAAGGGCCTGAGTTCAGATCATCAGGAGCCACATGGTGGAAGGCGAGAACTGACTCCTGCAAGTTGTCCTTTGGACTTGACATGTGCACCTCAGCATTCGCATGCCCACACACAGTAAAATAATTATCATTTCCACGAAATCTTTAACAATTTCTGCGTATATATTTGGACAGGTTACTTCACATAGGTTAACTAATTATACAGTGTTTATTTTTATTTTAGGAAGATATCATTACCAGATACACAGTCTCTACGATTTACCTGCTATGCGTCCGTATCAAATGATCTTCTCCAAGACACTCACAAAAGTGGCTACGTACTGGAAAGAGGCAGTTCAGGACTGAGGACTCATGGACGGGACACAGGCGTGATGGCCACACCTTAACCCAAGAGGCAGCACAGTGAGGGAGTCATGAAGATGGGGGGGCACTGCCCCCCATGGTCTGCTCTTAGCTGGAGGATCAAGTCTGTCTTGGGAATGGGGATCCGCTGCTGCCCGTGTCTGGCCTCTAGCTCTAGAGACCTGGACCCGGGCGGCTGCTGCTTACCTCACATGATCCATCCTGCCCGGCCAGACCCAGGCTCCAGGGCTGCTGGGGCACATTCATGGCAGTAGGTATACCTTCTCCTGGCCTCTTCCACTGGCAGATCCAATTTCCTCAGGAACAGGAAGCTGGGTGGGTGTCTGCAGGTTCCCAGGAGGGCATCTGGGCAGAGGCAAGTTGTGGTGTGATGGAAAATTCTGAAGCCTGGGTGATGTGGCAGAGGCAATGATCTTGTGTGGAGAGGGAGAGCCCCAGAGAGGCAATGATCTTGTGACCCTTCTCAGCATTTGCCCATGAATGTCTGAGGGCCCCAGAAAGTCACAAGGTAGGCATGACAGAGCAGCAAAGCTCAGAACGGTTCTGCTGTGAGCATCATCCAGGGTAAGGAAAAAGAACCAAGCGAACCGTAGTCTGGGGGCTGGAGAGGTGGCTCAGTGGGTGAGAGTGCTTGATGTATACGCATGAAGACCTGAGGTTAAATCCCCAGCACACACACACACATACACACACACACATACACACACACACACACACACACACACACACACACACACCCCAAAACCAACAAACCCCAAATCCATGTGTGTTTGTGTACTCCTGTAACCCTAGCACTGTGGAGACAGAGACCGTAGGACCTCTGAAGCTTGGGTCTCAGAGGAACAAGGCAGAGTGTGACAGGACGTTTGATGTCCCACTCTGGCCTCCATGCCCTGTGTTTGTGTACTCCTGTAACCCTAGCACTGTGGAGACAGAGACCGTAGGACCTCTGAAGCTTGGGTCTCAGAGGAACAAGGCAGAGTGTGACAGGACGTTTGATGTCCCACTCTGGCCTCCATGCATGGGCATGTACAGGCACACATATCCACATACATGTGCACACACACATACACACACAGGGCTGGAAGGCTGGCTCGGTAGCTGAAAGGGCATACTGCTCTGGCAGGGACCTGAGATCCAGCACTCACGAGTGGTGGCTCACAACCACCTGTAACTTCAGCTCCAGGGGTCTGATACCCTCCTCCGCACTGTGGGTACTCCACTCACATGAGCACATATCCCTCCCTGCACACATAGATGATTTAAAATACAATAAGTCTAAAACCATCACCCCCCGAAACTCCTGTAATTGGGATTGAAGGCAAGGATGGCTCACTGAGGCGCTCCCACTTTTTACCTGTGAGAAGAGGAAGGGATTATCCTACTTTCCTAAGTGAGGATAGTCTTCATCACAGACATGGGGAACCCGAGGCATGATGAGGCTCATCATGCCTCGGCACCTGCCTAGCAGCTGACAAATACAAACAACTCCCAGCAAGCTGTTTTCCCAGAGCCCTTTGAATCGTGCCGCAAGCATTAGTCTAACCACTTTCTTTCATCGAGACTAACGAGGCTGTGTGCTGGTTCATTTGCCCTAAGTGGAGGAGTGGGTTATGTTCTCCACACTCATCATTCTAAACACACACACAGTCCCCATGACCTCATGTGGTCCCTTATGAACTCAGCATCCAGAAACCACCTTTCTGTTTCCTCTTGCCTTCCGAAACCAGGGGTGGGGTGGGACAATTGCCACTCCTGGTTCTTTGTGGTGTCTAGACATTTCTGTGTTCTTCTGTGACGGCCACCATCCTGTTTATTGACTCAATCCCCCCATTGACTAGGAAGGCCTGCATATGTGACTGCCACTCACAGAGCATGTCTCCCTGTCCCTAATGTCTTTACAATACATGGAAAGCAGTCACAGACCCCCTGGACTTCCAGTGACCTCCCATGAGTGGACCACAGGACCACTGGACCACCAGGTAAAAACTGACACGTCCCAGGTCCAGAGACCATTCCTGACATTGCAATTTACACGTTTCCAGAGAACCTCAAATAAACTTTAACAAAGGGGCCCAAAGAATGTCCCCCAATATGGAAGGAGCTTCACTGCTCAATGCAGTGATTCTTCCTGTGTCCACAGGGTCCCCTGAAGGGCCAGCACTGACCCATCACATCTGCGAAGGACCCCAGTACTTATATAAGGTGCACCTAGGAATTAGGAATTAGAATTTAAGATTTAAAATTTGGGGGCTGGGCCTGGTGGCAGGGGCCTTTAATCCCAGCACTCAGAAGGCAGAGGCAGGCCACTCTCTGTGAAATCAAAACCAGCTTGGTCTACATATCGAGTTCCAGGTCAGCTTGGGGCTACAGGGACACCCAAATCTCCAAAAACAAAAACAAACAAAAAAATTTAAATTCTGTTTCACAGCTCTAGCTCCCCATAGGAAATTTCATGCTGGGATGGGAATGCCCTGCCCCAGAAGTCCTCATCAGTATACAAGGGCTCATCTCCCAGCTCTGGTGACTGGGCCCACAGCTACACTACATACGCACATCTCCTGGCTTCTGCTCCGTGTGTGCTGTTAACTCCACTTAGGGGAGGGGCCAGGCAGACTCTGGATGGCAGTGCCCCCCACTAGGCCCCCAATCTTCTAGTTTAATACCCTTTGTTAGTTTTCTCTTCCTGTAGGCTGGTATTCGGACCCCGTGCCAGGCCTCCGCGCCATGGCCCCACTGACACCCCGGGGCAGAAGGCCGTGCAGTCCCCACAAGCCCACCCCCATCCCCAGGCCTGCGGGCTCCATCCTCAGCAACCTGCTTTCCTGACTTCTCCATCACCACCCATCCTCCAAGTCCTCCACCCGCAGCTCCAGCTCCACCCAGCACGGACTCCTGCAGCACCCACGGGGAGTCCTCCCAGGGTCCCCAGTGCTGTTCTCGGTGCTCGGAGGACCACGTCCACAGGGGACCACGCAGCAGCCCACATCCCATCTGGACCCGAGTCCTCCCTGCAGTCCTCCCTGCACCCGACGTCAGTCCCTCCCTCTGCACAAACCTCCATCACCTCCCAGCATCCTCCCCGCGCCACTCAGCTTACCCAGCTCATCGCCTCTGCACACGGCACGCCGGGGCTCGCTGGGGCTTGGCTCACGGACGCTGAGAATCCGCAGTGTTCAGCATCCAAACTCGCAGGGTGTCCTGGCAACAAGAACTAGAGGATGGGAGCGGAAATAGCCCCTCTAGGCCACTTCCGGTTACTTCACCCCCTATGGAAACTGTCATGGCCGCGCCCATACTCCAAGGACAAGGAGGCCACCATCAAAATACTTCACTTCCGTACTGCCAGGACAGGCGGGAGATTTATTTACTACCTGTGTGTACGCATGTCTGTTTCTAAGAGACAGTGACATTATATTTCTTTTTTAAAAAATATTTATTTTATTACTTTATGTGTATGCGTGTGTTGCCTGCATGTATGTGAGTGCACCCGTGTCGTGCAGTGCCCACGGAGGTCAGAAGAGAGTGTCAGGATCTCCTGGAACTGGAGTTACTGCCGATTGTTAGTCACCATGTGGGTGCTGAGAATTGAACCCAGGTCCTCTGCAAGAGCAGCCAGTGCCCTTAACCACTGAGCATCTCTCCAGCCCCAACATTACATATTTCTAAAGATACTTTTTCTCTGTATTTTGGCAGGAACTGGGGTTCTTTTTTTACTGAATTGTAACTAGGTGGAATTATTAGGAAATGTGATGAGTAGCCATAGGGAACATTAAAAGTGAGGATCTGAAATGAACTGAGTCCCAAAAGCCTAGGCCCATCACCACATGTTAAAATGACACTACACAGAACCTGGTTTTATGCAAAATCAATTTCTTCTCTGCCCTTCTCCGGGACTTCCCTGCATATCAGTGCTAACCACGCCCACTCAGTGCACCCCAGGCACCACCTTGATCTTCCAACACTTATTGCCACTTCCTGCCACAATGCTCATCTAGCCTCCACCCACTGAGTCACAGCCACTTCCCTGTGTTCTCAATGCTCTCTGCTCGAGGCTGCACTAACGCTTCCTTGGAGGAGAGCGACTCTTCGCCCCATTCACTGAGGATGAAAGGTTCCTCCGATGCGACGGACGCTGGGATGAAGATGATGACATTGCTGCAGGCAGAGGTTAATTAACGTGTGGACAGTTCTTGAAAACAAGAGCGTTGGGCTTGGCAGGACACCGCCTTAGTCATAGATCAGAGAAAAACGTTAGTCTAAGTCATGGTACTGCAAGACATAGGATGTCTATTTAATGTCAAACATACCACTATTTGACTACCTTTCCTGGAAATTGTTTAAATCTATAGACTGTGTAAGAAACTGATATATTGTTTGTAGCCTACTGACTAACTTTAAATGTAAACCTGTAGAATGTGCTTTGTTCTCTGTGAAACTAATTCTCTCATATGTTCTGGCACAAACACCAAGCTTGTGACTGTAGCTCTGAGAGTATAGAAAAGCACTGCTAAAGAATTAAACTCACTCCTTCCCACCTGGGGTTGGGTCCTTTGCCTTCACTCATTGACGTCCATCCACAGACCTGAGTCTCCACACGGGAGAGTGCCCTGTTCTTGGTAGTCTAGCAGACAGAGCTGAAGGTCACATAATGAATGGGGGTGGGGCATGCAGGACTTCCTAGACGCACATGGGCTGCCTTAGAATGAGGGGAAACAGACAACCCTGAAATGGGGTCGGGGCCATAGCCTGGAGCCCAGTTGGAGGAAGCAAGTGCCTGGTTGTTCTGTGACCTGCCCTGTTGCTAAAGGGTAAAACTAAATGGAATATTCTCATGGTCTTTCCCATAGTTTGGCCACTACCAATTGCTGGTGGGGCAGATTTCTGGTCAAAGTTGAGGCCTCACAGTGGCTTGACGGAGAAGTATGTGTGTGTTGGGGATGGAGGTTGGACCCTCCCTAAGTTTAGGCTCCAATAGCTGTCCCTTCTTACCCTCCATGCCTGGTCTTCTGCCCTGGATCTGATGACATGATGGCACCATGCTGTGGTCAATCATTACTAATCTCACTGTAGACTTCCTCCTCTAAGCCTCTGGGTCAAGATGAGGGGTATCTGAGGGCTGGACGGGAGTTCTTTCGGTCAGGGCTTCAAGGAAGCCTGCCAGCCCTGCTTTCCCTAGTCCTCAGTCATCCACCCACTTTCCTGCTTCCTCATTCATCCAACCAAGCCCAGGAGTCCTTCTTACCAGATAGTCACAGGGAGAGACAACCAGATTAGTCACAGGGAGAGACAACCAGACAGTCACAGGGAGAGACAACCAGACAGTCACAGGGAGAGACAACCTTTCCCTGTGAAGATGGGGAACATTTTCTGCTGAACATTGTGCGTGGCAGACGTTCTTATTTGGACTTCATGTTCAATAACAGAACTCGATTTCTGAAAATATCTTCATTTCCAATTTACTAAAATTCCGTGCTTAGTGAGCTGTTGGGCCAGGAGCTTTGGAGCACTCATGGCAGTCAGCCACTATCCAGCTGCCAGCTTTGTACGACTAATGCACATAATATCCAGGAAGGTCACGGGGCAGAGATGGTTATTCCTTTTCTGTACTTGAGGGAATAATACTACAAAGAGGCCTATCTCACTAAGATGGTGCCAACCAGAGCTGGGGTGTGCAGCATCGGACAAGCCGGCTCCAGCTGCGTGCCTCACTGCTAGTGTGCACAGACTGTGTGTGAATTCTCAGAACTGCTGAAGGACAGGCCCAGCAGATTTTTCACAGGGAGGGGAGGCAGGATCTTCTGATGAGTCCACATGACATTCTCCATTTGTCCGTCTTTTCACTATCCAGTAATACGGATGGCCGTGGGAAGGCAGGAATCACAGCAGTTGGGCTGAGATGGCATCAGAAAGTCTGGTTCAAACCTGAGACTTCCTCATGACCAGATTTTGAACATGAGCAGATTTGCATACAATTTTCTGGCCTTCACTTCTTCACATTCAGAATGGGGTGATTCAGTATAAAATTCATTTTTCAAGGACTGTGGGGAAAAAGTAAACACATTTACACAAACTGTCCACAGTAGTAACTTTTCTTTCCAGGAACTCAATTAGAATTCATGAGCCCTCAGTTTCATTTTGAAGGCCTCAAACTAATTCATCTCTCTGGTCTTGACAAGTTGCCCGGGCCTCTCATCCTCCTTGAAAGGGTCTGGGACTGAGGGTTCTGGCCGCAACTCCTAAACCTTTTTTACCTGTTAAAGACTTCCAATGAACTGACAATTCCAAAGTTAGGTCCATACTCAGCCCAGAGGAATCCAAGCTAGTTCAGAGAGAGAGGGTCACATTAAAGTTCACTTACCACTTGATTTCCCAGGGAAGTTGCAAAGATGAATCCAATCGACGGTCTATTTCTCATGCACGGAGTGAGGTACTATTATACTCTTCCTTTTGCAGATGAAGAAAGCAGGGTAGGGAAGTCCAATAACACGCTCAGTGTGAAGCCCGTGTGGATCAAGTTGTTTTTTGTCCTGTGTACTTCAAGTCTAGGTTGTGGAGCTTTACAGATTTAAACATTTAAAAAATATTTTTATTTTATGTGTATGAGAATTTTGTCTGCATGTGAGTGCACCAGATGTGTGCAGTGCGTGTGAAGGCCAGAAGAGGGCATTGGATCCCTGGAACTGGAGTTACAGATGGACGTTAGCCACCATGTGGGTGCTGAGAACCAAACCTCGGTCCTCTGCAAGAACAGCCAGTGCTCTTAACCACTGAGCCATCTCTCCAGCCCCCAGATTTTTTTGAGACAGGGTATTGCATAGTCTACCCTGGCCTTAAACTTTCTATGTAAACAAAGATGACCTTGAACTTCTGATCCTTTTGCCTGCACCTCTAGAGTGCTGGGATTACAAGTATGTGTACCACACCCAGTTTTGTGCAGTGTTGGGAATCAAATTCAGGGCTTTATGCATGCTAGGTAATCACTATCTCCCAAGCCTCTATTTTAAGTTTTTTGTTGTAGCTATTTGGGGTGCTGTGAACTGAACTTGTCTTCAAACGTGCAAAGCAAGTACTCTACCCTTGAGTTACACTCCCAGCTCCAGAAGTATTTATAACAGGACACAGTAGCAGCAAAGGGGCTGGATTATGGCATTTCAATCCTGTGGAGTACCATGCTGTCAACGACAATATATATTTTATAGGGAAAAAAATATGGAAATGAATGTCCTCTATAGAACCATCTTCTACTTTTTTTTTGGTCTTCTTGAGACAGGGTCTCCCTGTAGCCCCAGCTGGCCTGGAACTCACTATGTAGACCAGGCCGGCCTTGAACTCACGGAGATCCACCTGCCTCTGCCTCTGCCTTCCAAGTGGCTAGGATTATAGGTGTGTGCCGCTATGCCCAGCTCCATTTTCTACTACTTTTTAAAATTTAGTATGTGAGTAGGTGTGAGAGTAAACCATGGAGCTGGTGTAGTGATTGGAGGACAACAGACAACTTTGGTCATTTCTCTCCTTCCACAATGTTGGTCCTGGGGATCAAACTTATGTCATCAGGCTTGATGACACGCCTCTTACCTCTGAGCCATTTCCCTGGCTCACCATTTTCTATAGTAAGGCTTTTCCCAACCCAGTAGAGTTTCTTCCTGGGATGAAATTCATAATTGTCAAAAGGCCTATTGCAAACGTGGTCATTTGTGCTTTCCCTAACAAGTTCTTTATTGAGTACTTTTTCTCATTTGTAATGACTTATGCATTTAAATGAACAATGCACATGTAGACTTTTTCTTAAATACAAATTCTACAATATTCAATGAGGTATTTTTAAAAAAATATTCTCTTCTTCAAGTAACCCACGCATTATACTTCAGTTAGGAACATGCTTATAGACTCTGAATTGCTTTCTCATTTTAGCCTGCCAGACCTGTATCTCATTTGAGTTGCTTGGTGCCTACCACAATGACATGTTGTTGGAGGCTTTCTTGCATCTAGAAAACACATAAGTTCTCTTCCCAGTGTGAATTTGATGCTGTACTTTTAGTCGGGATGCACTGCCGGATGATTTCCCTCACTCTCCACACTGGTAACACCTTTATGTGGATATGATGGTCCTTCAGTTGTGATGTATGATGGAGCAATTTCCCAAGGCATTACTAAGGCTTCTCTCAGGTGTAAGTTTGCTGATGGCATTTTGACACCGACTTCTGGAGGAAAGCCTTCCCACGTTTATGACAGACAAAAGGTCTTGATCTAGTGTGAGTCATCTGATGTCTATGTAAAGATGACTTATTGTAGAAGCCTTTCCCACATTCGGTGCACACACATGGGTTCTCACCTGTGTGAGTTCGCTGATGATTTCGGAGTTGGCTCTTTGAAGCCACTGCTTTCTCATAGTCACTGCATTTGTAAGGCTTCTCCCCAGTGTGAATTCTCTGGTGTGTTCTAAGTACTGATTTCTGACGGAAGGCTTTCCCACACTCACTACATATATGTTGTTTTTCTCCAGTACGTATTTTCATGTGTAGATTGAAGGATGATCTTTGTCTGAAGGCTTTTCCACATTCAGAACATGCATAAGGTGTCTACCCTGTGTGAATTCGAAGATGCTCCTTCAGTTGTGAGGAAATACTAAATGATTTCCCACAGTAGTGGCATTTGTATGATCTCCCCCCTGTGTGAAGTCGATGATGAACTGTTAGTTGGGACGAATGACTGAAAGATTTCTCACAGTAAAGGCATTTGTAAGGCTTCTCTCCCATGTGAGTTTGCTGATGAGACATCAGCTGTGACCTTTGAAAGAAGGCTTTCCCACATTTGTGACAGACAAAAGGTTTGTCCCTAGTGTGAGTCATCCGATGTCTATGTAAAGATGACTTATTATAAAAGTCCTTCCCACATTCCAGGCACACATAGGGTTTCTCTCCTGTGTGAGTTTGCTGATGTGATGCCAATGCTGACTCCTGGAGGAATGCCTTCCCACATTTGTGACAGGCAAAAGGTCTCTCCTTAGTGTGCAATATTTGATGTCTAGGCAAAGATGTCTTATTGTAGAAGCCCTTCCCACATTCCATGCACACACAGGGCTTCTCTCCTGTGTGAATTTGCTGATGAGATGTCAGCTGTGACCTCTGAAAGAATGCCTTTCCGCATCTGTGACAGACAAAACGTCTCTCTTTAGTGTGAGTCATCCGATGTCTAGGCAACGATGACTTATTGTGGAAGCCCTTCCCACATTCAGGGCATACGTAGGGTTTCTCCCTTGTGTGAACCCGATGATGCATCTTCAATCGGGATGTGTAAGTAAATGATTTCCCACAGTCCCTGCACCTGTAAGGCTTCTCCCCTGTGTGAACCTGATGATGCATCTTCAATTGAGATGTGTAAGTAAATGATTTCCCACAGTCACTGCATTTGTGAGAATTCTTCCCCTTGTGAATTCTCTGGTGCATGCTGAGCTCTGACTTCTCCTTGAAGGTTTTCCCACAAACGGACACACACAAGGTCTCTCACCAGTATGTATTCAATAATGTATCTTCAGTTGGGATGTATTGTTGAATGATTTTCCATAGTCGGAGCATTCATAAGGCTTCTCCCCAGTGTGAATTCAATGATGTACCTGCAGGTTGGATGCACGACTAAATGACTTACCAGAATCAGAATATTCATAAGGCTTCTCGCCTATGTGAGTTCCTTGATGGGAGGCCAACTCTGACTTCAGGAGGAATGCTGTACCACATTTGTGACAGACGAAAGGTCTTTCTCCAGTGTGAGCTGTCTCATGCTTATGGAATGAGGCCCCGTCACAGACCTTTGTTACATATTCAGTACATTCATCTAGTTTCTTCAGAGTGTAAATGTCTTGCTGTATAAATGGTCGTTTAAAGATGAGAGCTTGACTGCACTGGTTATTTTTGAAGGACTTCTCTCCTCTGTGAGGAACTGGACAGTCAGCATTAGACTCTTCTGTGAAGAGGTGATTGGTTGTGCTAATATTGTTAAACTGTTTTCTGACATTGCTTTGATTTTTACTATTTGCTTCAAGGTTTGGCTTTAAACTTTTCGAAACAAGGTGGGTTCCCAAAGGAATGGTTGTCCTTGACTGTTTACACTCACTACCCCTGTCTATGCTCAGTGTTTTCTCGTTGAGGGGAGCACCAGGACTCAAGGGTGGGATCCGGTTTTGCTGATCTCTTCTCGTAGCGTTGGCACCCCACCACTGTTCTCCTAAGATCAAACACCATAAACCGCCTCTTCTCACTGTACTTGCCTTGTTAGTCTGAAAGAGTGCAGTCTCAGACAATCCCAGCCGAGGAGTATCAAAGCCTGATTCTGCTTCTGGGGGAAGAAAGAGATGAAGGAATAGGCCAAATGAATAGGATGATAAGGAATCATATAGTCAATTAACACTGTGGACAAAGAAATCTTTGTGAGGTACTCAGGATGCTGATGATGGTTTCAATGAGGAGAAACAATTCCATCTCCCTTACAATATGCCGAACATTAGCCATACAGCATTTAGCATGTGCCAGGTAACTGTGCATTTACACATTGCAAAAGATAATGTTTTGTATTGGACATATAATAATAAATGTAGAGGTGCCAAAAAGCAATGAATTATTAAAACAAAACAAAGAAAAAAGCCAACAGCACACTTTGGATATCCCACCATGTCCTGCAAAAAGAAGGAAGGAAATCCTTAATGAGGCCCACCCCAGTTTTCCCAGGTCACTTACTCACCCACTGACATGAGGTGGCTGTAGATCTCCAGCATCACGTCCCCGTACAGGCATCTCTGGGCGGGGTCCAGTTCCTGCCACTCCTCCCGGCTGAACTCCACAGTCGCGCCCTCAAACGATACCCACCTCGGTAACAAGGCAGCCCAGGCCACAGTGAGTCACTCATCACTGACAAGTAGGACCCTGTTGGGAGCTATTGATAATAAGCACAGCCATTATGTACATTGAGCTGTGGCAGGATTGTTTACTGAGTTTGTGTTTTGCACACCAGTACCTAACCTGCCAAGTCAGGAGGAATGTGTTTATATGATGGAGTTCACAACAAGTATTTGACCACTCCTTGATCCTCAGATACAGGGGGGGAACAACAGCTGTTGAAATTAATTGAGTTAAGCAAACAGTGGCTATCTCTGATGTTCTTCTGTATAAAAAGGCGGCGCTAAAATAAACCGGGGCTGCAGTCTCTACTGACAGTCCTCCCAAGTATCTTGTCTGTCTCTTGTTTTTTCTTTCAATCCTCACTCCCCCTTTCAGGTACTGCCCATCTTGGCCGGCTGGCACCGGCAGGTAAGATGGAATTTCAGTGCGGTTTCAACTTGCACTTCTCTGAAAGCTAGTAATGTTTAACATTTTTCATATGTTTATTGGCCAGTTGTACATCATCTTTTGAGAACTGTCTGTTCCTATTATTTGTACATCCTTAATGAATATAGATGCAAAAATTCTCAATAAGATAATTACAAACCACATACAGACACACATAAAAAAATCATCCACCATGATCAAGTTGGCTTTATCCCAGAGATGCAGGGATGGTACAATATACGTAAGTCAATAAACATCATAAATCATATGAATGGGCTCAAAGACAAGAACCACATGGTCATCTCAATAGATGCAGAGGAGGCCTTTTACAAAATTCAACATGCATTTGTATTCAAAGTCCTAGAGGGAATTGCACTGGAGGGAACATACCTCAACGTAATTAAAACCATATATAACAAACCCACAGCCAACATCATTCTAAATGGAGAAAAACTGGAAGCATTCCCATTGAAATCAGG